ATGTGCCTGGGTGCGGTTTTGCAACATTGGTGTTTCTCATAATGGGGGTCCTCTAAAATGGTTAGGTTTCTTTTGGCTTCCCTTAAGGCCCCAACGAACAAGGGGTCCCAATCCAATGTTGAGAAGCTTCTATTGCGTCCTTTGTTGTTTGTAAATCTGACTTGGGGATGTCTGGAGCTGTTGTTTCAGCCTGCGCTTGCCTGCTTGGATTTGTGCATCAGCACGTGCGTACATCCTAAATGATGTCGACCTTTGATTAAAAGTCCGCCCCCGATTAAAGTTATGTTGTCGGCCGGCACTGATTAATACCCCCCCTGAAATAAAGTTATGTGTTTTTTGGGCGGGGAATCCACACACACCCGCTAGCATCATCTCAACCTCTTCCACCACTAGCTTGTCTGATTGGTCAGTATCTGCCTCGCCTGCCTTGTAATTTCCGCTCTTTACATGCTCTTGATTGAAAAGTGGCCCCGGATCAATCCTACAAGGCGGGTAGTACTTGGGGGGTTGTTAAAAACTTTAGTTAGAGGCCCCCCCCTAAATAAAGATTCCTGGTTGCCCCCCCCCCTAACGAAATTCAACTCGTGCTTGAAAAGGCTTTCTTAGTAAAAGGCTTAAAATATTTCCCTTGAAACTTGCTCCCTATGATTTCAATCATCTAGCCTTTGCAATCCCAACAAAAATCCCAGCTCCCAAACTGCAAATTCTTTACATACTCTTGCTTAAAAAGTGCCCACAAGGGGGGTAGTACGTGGGGGGTTGTTTAGGGGCGCCCCCTAAATAAAGATTCCTGGTTGCCCCCCCCAAAAAAATCACCAGCAATACTAAATCAATTGGAATCCCAACAAGTCACATCTCAAAAGGAGGCTCCAGCAATACTAAACCAGTTGAAACTCAAATTGTAAACTCAAATCCCTCAAGTCAAATCTCAAAAGGAGGCTCCTGCAATACGAAATCAATTGAAAACTCAAATCCACCAATACTAAACCAATTGGAAACCCGAATCCAATCTCAAAAGGAAGCTCCAGCAATACTAAATCAATTGAAACACTAAGATATGTGTGCAATACTTAGCAATTCACAATCAAGTTGGGAAAACTATTTGGGGAGCTCTTGTGAATGGGTCGGGCTTTTGTGGCAACCTCCCCCAACAACCTCCCAACAACCTTCCCAGGAGCTCGGCCTTTCATACATTTTCATACTAGTTTTGGATTTCGCGTTGGGGAAAGCAAAGCTTGGGTGGATTCCATGTGTGGTTTCATGGCATTTCCCATTCGAACAAACTCCTGCAAGCACCATGGGCTACAAAAGCAAGCAAAGCGCTCCCCACAATTTCTGCCGTGCGGCGGAGGAAGCTGATGAACTTCGGGGGCAGTGGGCAAGTCACATGGATCTCAGGCGTGTGCTCTGTGGCTGGCACTTTCATGCTGTGCCTCGGCTGGATGCGTTCTGGGTGGGGATAGGGGAATACGAGAGCCACTGAACAGGTCCTGAACCATTTCATTCTTGGTGCTCGCCTCTGCGCCCCAAGCACAAATACATTCTATTGGATCAAAAACTGAAGGCATTTTACCCACTTCCCTCAAGGAAAACGAGAAGGGTCCAGGGTCCGCGCTTCCCCGCTTCAATTTGCCAGCAACCTCCGCAGGCTGAAGCGCAACTTCGCCAAGAGGCAGGTGCAGCATAACCCGCCGCGGGAGCGGAAGCCCGAAAGACTCGAAGTACTCGCGGGTTCTCCGCTTGTTGTACCTTTGCTTTCGGCGGCCGGGCCTTTTGCTTCTTTCCTGTCGGCGAGCCGCAGGTGCAACAACACGCAATGCGTTTCTGGTGGCATGTATGTACTAGCGCGATTGTGTACTTGTATGCCCCCAGGCGTGTCTGTCGTTTTATGACTCGGCCACTGCAAGGGCTGCGGCTGGATTTCAATCTAGGCAACGAAGCCCAACGCCGTACACTGCGAAATTTAAATTACAACATCGAGGCCCCCGTCAAAACCGAAGCGGCGAGCAGGCGAACTTAGCGCAGGTGCTCCGTGCCGCCAAGAGGCGTATCCCCAAGGATCGGCAAACTGATGTTCCCTCGGCCGCTGCTTCATGAGCCCGAAGGGCCCCCGTATGTCGAAGCTAAGGGGTCCTGTCCACGTAAACATTTTCGGTTTGACGACGGAAATGTGTTGCAATTCTTTGGTTCGACAACCAAAAGGCAAAACAAACATAGCATTTGGATGCCAGGAGATACAAAAGCAGGTTTCAAGGCCTGACAGTTCTGAAGGGCGCAATGAAACTGAATGACTGACTGGTTGATCACAAACTCAGAAAAGGAACGCATGGATTTGCTGCAAGCCTAATAACAACCACTCTGGATGTCATTGTTTACAACATCCTGCTTACGCAAACCGAATTGCGCAACGAGCTCGCGAGGCCTTCCCCGACTTGCGTCAGGCCGGTGGCAGAGAAACACAAAACATTTTGACACGTTCCGATCAATGCACGCACGCACGAAAACACGCACACACACACACAAAAACAAATACCGAGCCACGCAGGTGCCGACGGATCTGGTGATACCGCCCGGTGGTGGGCTCTGCCCGCACCAAACAGCAATCCGGGCCGGCGCTGCCCAGCAACACCTCCACGTCCGTGTGGCTGGGTTTCCTCGGCACCCGGCGGGCTATGGCGCACCAGTTCTGAGCACAGGAAAAAACCGTGGTGAAAAAACCAACGTAGCACTTTTCCTAAACACCTGCCGAATCATAGGTTCTCGACGTCTTGTTTTTCCACACTTTGCACGTGGGATGCACCTTGCATGCGCTGCGCACGTGACAGTGAATGCACCAGTCGCGTTGTCCGTGCAGCCGATCTGGGCCCTTGTGTTGCGCAGATTTAAACAACAGCAGCAGCAGCAACGGCAGCGGCAGCAACAGCAGCAGAAGCAGCAGCAGGAGCAGTAGCAACAGCAACAGAAACAGCAACAGCAACAACAACAGCAACAGCAACAGCGACAGCGACAGCGACAGCGACAGCAACAGCAACAGCACCAGCACCAGCAACAGCAACAGCAACAGCAACAGCAGCAGCAGCAGCAGCAACAGCAACAGCAGCAACAACAACAACAACAACAACAACAACAACAACAACAACAACAACAACAACAACAACAACAACAACACGTTTTCACAACGCGGCCCCCCCCGTGGGTGTTGCATTGCCAGCCGGTCCTTTTCCTGGAGTGACGTTTAACCGCATATTGATGTTGACGCCCCTTAAGTTCTGTTTGTGGGATTTGGCCTGTTCTTCGTGACAAATGTTCTTTTCTTCTTTTTCTTCCTCCAGGTGCTCTGATGCAAATAGACTTGGATGGGCTAGCCCGCGCCCTGTAGAAAGGCTGGCTAGCCAGCCAAAAACTTTGATGCAAATGTTTTGTGGCTGGCTCCATTTTTTCATGATCTTGTTAGATGCTTGATATAGTTCTTGGCTGGCTCGAGCTGGTTTGGTTCATCCATTTGCCCCTCATCATGGCTCGTCAGGATCGCCCGCGACTCTGCCTTTGCAAGGTGAACCTGCTGCACAGAGTTCTTTGTATGCTCTCGCGGCAAGTGATAGCCTCTGACCATGTCAGCCAAGCGTACTGGTCGTTGTTTCGTGAATGGCTGGAGCTTGCCCTTGCACAGGGGCTAAAAGTCTCCATTGGGCCTGGCATGCTCCGCTACACCATGCGAACTGATGATGAAGGCGCCTTGTTCTATTACATCTCCTTGGCGGCCCACTTCGCAGGTGGGGAGAGCTTCTTGGCTTAGACCGACTTCAAGTTGGCCTCCTCCAGGCGCCCTTTGGTTCGCATCGATTTGGCCCTGACACAGATCACCGCCCCTGCCACTGCTGTGATCGATGACTTCAGCCGGCTGTTGAGCAAGGCCGATGTGGATCGCGTGAAATCCAAGAAATGCGAACAGCAGTTCACCAAAGCTGAGGCTCTCATCACATGGCCTTCTGTCGCTACCAGATCCGCATGCTGCTGTTGACTGGAAAGCAAAACAAGGGCCGAGAAGGCAAGGAGCACAGCACCTTGCAGTCCTGAGTTATTCAGGCTCGGTCGCCCTCCTCCCAGCTTGCTGCTTCTTCTTCCACAGACGTGGTCATGGACATGGCAGCCCACAATGATGCCACTTTGATCGCTAAGGTAGTAAGAAGGAGGATGGGGCCTGCTGGAGCATAGGCCGCTTTTTGGGCACGAGGTGCAAGTCGCCAAGGTGCCCTGCTCACAGCCATTGCCTTGTAGGATGCCGTGGCAGGCGCCGGCACCTTCCCACCACAAGTGCACAGATTGCCGCGCGTAGAAGGCACGGACAAAGGGTACAAGCGATGGCGTCACTTCCGCAAGTTTGCCAACGAAGGCTGCGCGGGACACCGAGTCACAAGCGCCACGCCCGTCAAAAGACACGACGGTGGCTGCGGGGTCGAGCTCGGTGGCAGCACGAAGCAAAGCGGCCAAGCAATCCGTCCCAGCTCGCGCTTGCAGCGCGAACTGGTACGGCCTGGTGGCTTCATCGAAGCGGCGCGCATAGCGCCGGGCGAGCGTGCGGGCGACCAGGCGATGAAAGGTGTCGCCAGTTGCAACGCTCCTCACTCCGCCGCTAGGCTTTACAACGCCGTGACTAGCTTTGTTGCCGCCACGGCGAACAACGCCAGCGTGGCCTCATCGGCCAGCAGGATTTTGTAGTGGTCAACCGTGGCGCCGGACAGGCCTGCCGCCGTGCCCTTTTTGGCCGTGCGGAGGGCGTCCGCTACAGCGGCATCGAGCCGGATAGCGGCCGCCGGCAGAGAGGGCGGCGGTGGAAGCGGGCCTTCGAGGCTGTGGCGGGCAGCGGTCCGGGTCGGACAGGGCGGCCAGGGTTGCTTCATCGCCTGGGGCCAGCGATGCTGAAGTGAGTGTCCGCCGCAGGCGGGGCAGCCTCGGCTGCGTCGCGAAGACTGAAGCCCCATCAGCCGGCGAGGCCTCCAGGAAAGCGAGAAGGGCGGATGGCCACCAGAAGTTCTGTGCGCTGTTACCCCCGAACCCGGGCGCCTACTCCTGCAACTTTGAGCTGGTCAAGATGAAGGATTTGTTTCAACCCGCGATCATCTGCAATCCATACCCCTGGGGCAGATGGGTCTGTTACATGTTTGTTTCCGGCACCCCTGTATGCAGCGCGATGACAATGTTGAGAAGGTTTCGGGGTTCGGGACTCAGCAGACGTGGCTTGGCGGTTCCATCTGACATGAATGTTTTGGAGACCTGCATGACAGTTCGGTCGTTGGGAGTGGTCCGGCCAGGTGCCGCGAGCAGGCTAGCGCCAACTGACGCACAGGGCCATGCTCCGGCGGGGCTGAAACGTTTCAGCCGGATAAAAGGCTTTGCCGGGACACGTGCGTCGACGGCGCTCGGCAGCAAGGGGCGGGCCAGTCCCTTCCCCGCTTTCTCTCTCCGGGGGGCGTCCTAAAAACGGCAGGCGTTGAGGACAAAACCGCGAGTGCCACTCCACAGCACGCAAGATGCGTACATGCCAACATGGGGCACACACACACACGTGCTTCACACCCACGCACGCACATCCGCGCACCACGTGCAAACAAAAAGCACAAGATCACATATACTACGCAACAACGCGAACACACACGCACACACAGGCAACAAATATTATTAACACGCACGAGTCGCGTACAACAAACAACGCGTAGAACGCGACACGCGCGCACACACGCACACACACGCGCACGCAGGCACGCGGACCGCAACGCGCCACACACCAAGAACTGCGTGAACGCAGCGCGTTCAAGCCAAGTACACACAAACATGCAAAATGACGCAGAACGTATGCACGCCCAAACAACAAAGCAAAACCAATTTTACACCGGCCAGTTCAACCACAATGAGCAAAACAAACACTTGCGCACGTGCGCAGCACACGTTGCGCGCACAGACACGCAGTGCGCGCTACCGTGTTGAGACGCGCGCGCAAACCTCAGCCAAGTCGCACCAAGCGCCGCGTGTGCTCAAACACACAAACACATTCATAGACGCACGCGCACACACACAAACACATACTCACAAACCACACGCACATCACGCGCACGACGCGACACACAACACGCATCACACCACACGCAACAAACGCAACACGCACCCACAACATCACGACCAATAACAACAAACCCGACACAGTAATGCAGGCACAGCAGGCACGCAAACCATGCACACACACACAGCCAACACGCAAAACAGTCTTTTCTGCATCCTGTTCAAACCCAGCCATACAGAACGCAAACAACGGCCAACGCGCAAAGAACCCGACAGCGCGCGCACACACACAGAGACTCACAGACGCACAGGCACACAGACACAAACACACGAACACGCACACACACAAACAAACACACACAAACAAACACCCACGCGCGCACGCACACGCACATGCACACAATACAACGAGCAAGCGCACACACACAAACACACACACACACACCACTAACACACTTGCAGTACACAACTCAGACTCTCACACACGCAACAGACACATGAAGAGTCAAGCCAAGCTCATGACACGCGTACATAGGCACTCCCAGACAAACAAACAAACAAACAAACAAACAAACAAAAAAACAAACAAACAAACAAACAAACAAACACGCACACAAACACACAACGTACACATACGAGTAACACACACACACACGGAGCAAACAACTCGCCACGCGCACGCACGCCACGCATGATCTTGTGTTTTGGTCCCTTGAGGTGACAAGCCTGCGCTGCACTCACCTCATGGAACTCCTCGGTGCACTGAGTTGAGTTGCGAAGTTACCCTAAGGTGAGTGGTGATCAAAACCGATCGAAACCCGGTATTAAATTCAAATGGTCTACAAACATGGAAAGAATTAAGAAGGCGGCGGCAACGATTCATGGCTGGGAGTCTTTTTTACAAACCTCCACCTACCCAGGTTTTGAGCACGTGTCTTGCAAGGCTGTTCTGCACCATTCCACGCGCTGATCCTCACTTCTGCGCTTTCGGGCGTCGCTATTTCTTGCCTTGGCCTCTTTCCAGCGCGTCAGAACCGAACTCTGCGAGCATTGCGCCGATGCGTGGCGGACCTGAGGTCCCGTGCTTTTCTCGACACCCTCACATGCTCACATGCTCACACGCAGTCATGCGTGTGCTGTGTGGGTTCATTGGTCTGGAAGCCACGGCGACCAGTCGCTCCACGGTTTCAACGCGCGCCGCGGCGGCAAGGCGACGACTCGCTGCATGCGGGGTGCGAGAGGCACTGGTTTTCAGTAGAGAACTTGCAGCTTGGTGCCAACTTGGTGAACTTGGAGCCACAAGGCTGTTCGCAACTTCTGTCGCAAACGCCTCAGCTTGCTTTGCACATTGGCTCACGGGCTGCCAACACTAGCGGTGCTCACCACATGTGGAGGGCAGACTTGTTTTCTTGAGGGTACCCGTCGACATGTTTACCCGGTATTGAAGGACACCAAAAGGCAACCAATCATGTTCGGGATCCAAAGCAACACTACATGCCCAAATGGACACACAATCGGCAAATGCCGCGCGAAAGATCCGTAAGATGCCAAATCGGACGTCGCTTGACCTTTGGTACGCGCTGAGAAAGCCCCATGCAGTTGACTGGCCTCGACTGCGAATGAGATGGGAAACGAAAGTGCAAGGCCAGCGGTCGGGCTCTGGCAGGCATGCCATGGGTGTCCAAGAAACTGGGGACACCTTGTCAACATCAAAAGGGCAGCACCCAGTTTCCACGACAGTGCCAAGCGCTGAATCGCTGCCCAAACAGCGGCGAAAGTTCGCTGACGGCTCGCCCCCTTCAAGGCCCGTTTAGGCTTGCAAAACAAGGCTACCTGAGCATTCTCCAGCGTTGGTCATTGGAGACAAGCTCAAAGCGCCTCATCGACGCACTTTTGCAAACACCATGTCCTTGCGATTTCATCGATCCAACGGCTAGGGTTTGTTTGGTTGTTTGTTGCTTGGCCACCTCTGTTCTTGATCTTGTGGATTGCTTGGATGGGTTCCCCCCCATGGAATCAAAGCTAGCAGCTGTGTGGTACAGCATCCTGGAGATGCCACGTTCCGCGCTGCCGGAATCACCGAAACGCCTTTGGGCGAGCGACCCAGCTGCAACGCCACGCAATCCAACGGCCTTGCGGCGGGCGTGCGGCCAAGGTAAGGGCTGACTGAAGATGTGGCCACGGGATAAGTGGTGCAGGTGGCTGGAAATTTGGGATTGAGATGGGTTCAAAGTGGGTTTAGTCTTGGTTTGTACGTTGGCTGAGATTGAGGGTTGGAGTTGTCATGCAGGTTGGCTTGTGTGATCAAGGAGAGTGGCGGATGTGGTGGTCGGTTTTTGACGGCACGCATTGCATGCAAGTTGTCGCGCGTCGTTGCGGAGGTGTGAGTGTTGCTCGGCCTCTTGATGAATTTTCGCCCTCCGTCGGATCTGCGAAGCTGCCGTGCGATTCGTCCGTTCGTGCAGCCCAGGCGTCATCTTTTTGCCCCGCCGCTTTCCGAATGGCTTCTTATCAGCCAGCTCCCGGTCGATGCTAAAGCGACCTGCAGGAGCCGAGCTGGCAACACCACTTGGAAGCGGGAAAGATGCCGCCATTTAACTTTGCCCACATCTGGGGTACACAGAAAGTAACATGTCATGATTCTGTGTTCACATATTTAGTCCGCCGTATGTAACATGGATTCGGGGCAAAAGCATATTGTTTGGGGCCACAAAGATATGGGACCGAGACCGCTTCAAAAGAAGCTCATTTTTGCTCGTCGGGAAGGCCTGGTATCACAGTGGTTTTTGGCAACTCGCACCTGGACCTTTTGCTTTGCTTTGCGTGTTTTCGCTTGAGGCAGGAAGCGATCGATCCCTTTAACTCGTTTCGCTTCAGCTCAGGCGGGCGAAGTACCTTGTTTGAGCTCCCTTCTACCAACCGACTTGGTTTGTTTGAGACCAACATTGCGCACGGGTGCGATGAACAAAAGGGAGATCCACCAATGTACTTTTTGCTTGGGCTCTGAGCTTCCCATGTCCCAGCGTCTGAAAGAAACCTGCTTGGACCAAGGGGAGGTGTACTGGAGTCGGAACTCACCGGCGAGGGTTGTTTTTTTAGGGGGACCCCCAAAACTGGTTGGTGGCCTTTTGGTTCAGCACATCCACAAAACAGACACACTTCTTGGCATGTCCTGGGCTCTTCCGGCCCTCATAGCTATACCTCTTGTGGGGTGCCATTGGATATCCAATGAGACACAAACCGCGACCCTGTGCCGAAGGTTCCTTGAGTTGAACGATACATCTTGCTTGTGCTTCGGTGTGCGTGAAACAAGTTGGGTGCCACAGTCTGGGTTATAGATACGTTCGGCGCCAAAATGGGATGCTTGATTTGCAAAGGAAACTTCTCTGGCCTTGCCTCGCTGCAGGAAGTGCTCGCCACTGTTTCGGCAGAGCCTGTACGAAGCGGGTTGCTCCTCGACCCTTTCAGCAGGCTGCGGCTAGGCTACACCTAAACCAACCCCTTTTGGCCTCCTTTGGGAACATTCACCAAAGGGTTGCTCTTTACCAAGGGTAGAAAGTAGGAGGAATCCTTCGACTCATTTTCTGCTGTCGAGTTGCTTACGACTTTCTTTTCTGATCGTGACCCTATGGAAGAAGCCCAACCCCTCAATCCTCGCCTCATCGGCCTCATGCTTGAAGATCCCACAACGCGGAATGAACTCAGGCAAGGTTTTCTTGCCAACCGAAACCTGGGCGAGCTTTGCCGTCCCTTTGGCCGGCTTTCCCAGGGTTTGCATGGACTCTGTGGATGTTTGGTATTGGTTTCCTTTGGGTTTCTTGTTGACCTCTTAAAAAAGTACCCTCTAAAAAGGCACACCTCTCAGAAACCGCCCCACTCAACAAGGCCCAGTTTGGCATATTACAAGGTAGGACTCCCCGTTTTGGGCTGGGTCCAGGTGCTTCACTCGCTTCACTGTGTGCTCTGTCTTGTTTCGAGGGTTCCCCCCCCCCCCCCCCGTTTTTGTGGATTTTACGGCAGCACAAAGCCGAGCCACCATCTAAGATTTAAGGGGTCCCCCCAAAAATGCACAAACCCGTAGAGGACCGCTTTCCCCCGAGATCAGCTTGTCGAGCCGATCTGAGGTAGAGGCCTTCATAGTCGAAGTATAAGAATGGGAGATTGACAATGAACATGCAAATGTGCTTTTCTCTTTTGATAGACCCAATTTTAGTCATGATGGGAGAATAGTAAATTAGTACTGGGTCCTGGTCTGCTATCCCTTAGGTCCAGAATCCTTGAGGGGTCCACGATTATCCCTACTAACTCCCCAAGAGGTGTTTTGACCACCTTCCATCCGATCATGCACGTAAGGCGCTGGCGCATAGTAAACCTTCGAGACGTTGACCTCGTGCAGAGCCTCTCGAACCGCTTCGGCCCCTGAAATGGATGAATTTGCCTCCATGGAGAGCAACATGGAAAGCACCCACACAAGTGGGCTCCCCCCAAAAAACGGACTCCCAGGGATCGATCTAACATGGGCGTCGTGGTGCCAATTTGGCAAGAAACCAGGGTCGTTCAGCCAGGCCGGCTTCTTCATACGTGCCGCCAACCCTTGCTTTGAACCTGGGAAGGCGGTTTCTCTGCAAACAGTGGTTGAACAATGTCTAAAACCTGCGACCCAAGGCTAGAACTTTGGTTTCTGCAAACCTAGGAGAACCAAGCCACCGATCGAGAGAAACCACGAGAGGCCCATGAAACTCAATCAACCCAGTCCCTTCAACCCTTCGGGGGCACCGAACCCTCTGCCATTTCTCGGCTCTCAGAAACCCACTCGACTCTTGGGATAGCTAGGAAGAAGAGGCGAGTCCTTGTCTCCTCTTGCCCCCTCGAAATCGGACGGTTTTTGTTTCAGAAGTTCGAGGTTCGCCAATGGGCAGGTTGGTCTTAGACCCCTCGTTTTTGGGCTGGACAAGCCCCAACATCCGCACCCACCATCAGGATCTCAAGTAATAAACAACTCATGGTCCAAACAATCAGCTTGGGAGGATTGCTGCGAGTAGGCTTTCGTTTGCATGTACCCTTTAAGGAACATGCAGATTGGCCAAAACAAGCCCTTGGATTTTTTGTTTACGATGGTCTTGCCAAAAAGTGGCTAAAGCTCCCGGAAATCGGGGAGCGAGCTGGAGACCCTATTGAATAAAACAAGCTCCTTTGTATTTTTCATGTTTTGCAACCAACCCTCCGTTTCCATGCTGGGAAAGATTCGCCAAACAAAGTCAGGGCTCCCAAAAAGCAAGTTTCCCCTTAAAACGCCTCCCCTGGACCAAATCCTGCACCAGTTGCCAGGTGGTGCTTTTTTTTCCCGCTTGCAAAGTTTCATCCAACCAACCATATCCATCTATCAGTGCTGAACATCCTTTATGTGAGCAATCCTTAGAGGATCTCCCAGGAGCCATCCCATCCCCGTCTCAAAGCATCTCCCCCAGCCGCTCGCGAGCCGCTCGCGAGCCGCTCGGCCTGCGCGGTGTCCGGGTCAAAGGCCACCAGCGACACTCCGCTCACCGAGCGGTCCAGGCGGCCCACCAGGTGCCTAGCCAAAGCCCCAAGCCCGGAGGGGGGCTCGGGGCTCGTTAAGACGTCCCATGCGGATGGGCCAAACTGTGCTCCGAGAAAAGGACACGAAAAGAAGTGACTCTCTGAAGGAGGATTTCTGGTCTGGTTGAGCCCCAGATAAAGCAGAACCTCTGGTTTATCACCCTAGGGCCTTTTGTGGCCTTCTTTGGAGCAAAACAAAGGAAGACCTCCTGCCCCTGCGATCCCCCGGCGTAAAATGGGCTGCTCAAACGAACTCCCGGCAACCGACAACAAACAAACCGCAATGCAGCGACCCCGCGCGAACTTCGAAATCAACTCAGTCCAAGGAAAAACCTGACCTGGTCAGTGGGTGGGGCTTGGTGTGGAAGGAATGTGCATGGTATGGTTGGAGCTGCCCTCCCAATTTTTAGCTTGAAAAGCGGAGCCTGAGTTCAGCCTGGGCGTGAAAGACCAACCTTTTGCGTCGATTGCCCCCCCCCCCAAAACAAAAAGAGGAACAAATAAAAACACCTTTTACTTCAGCACTCGAACGATCCTAGATCTGCCTTTGTGGCGGGCTTTGTGGGTCAAAGGCACATTGGAGGCGGCGCCTCCCCAAGCATCCAGAACTTGCGATTTGAAGGAGCGGCAGTCTGGACCAAAGGAAAGATTTATCGCGGTTCACTAGGAAGGCTTGAGAAGATATTTCTCAAAAACCAAACGACCTGGCGGAAATTGTTATGGGCCATTGCTGTTCGGTTTGACAAAACCAAATGCCAAAATCGGAAAGCTGAAACGAGGTTGCTCCGAAACTGGCTGGGGTAAACACTTCTTGGTTGCTGTTGACCCTTCTGCAAAAAGGCTAGCTTTTTGTGGGTTCAATGGAGAAAGGGGGGCTTTTTGAGCAACTCGCTGCGACGCAGACGTTGGATGTGACGATGCAAGCAAGCCACAGGGAACCGACTATACTGTATCTTTTTTTTGGTTGGGGGGGGTGCCCCATGTTCTGGCAGCAGACTGGGGTGATCAAACTGACAAATTGTGATCCAACTTCTAGGGAGCATTCCCGACATGGACACCCTTTCGAACAAGATGCGCTGGGCTGGAAGCTAGGAGTTCAAGGGAGTAAGGCTATGGCTGTTTGCTGAAGTCCCCTCAACAAAAAAGGAAACGAGTGATAGATTCCCTTTATAACCAACAGGCGGAAAATAATAATAATGATGATAATAATAACAATAATAATAATAATAATAATAATAATAATAATAATAATAATAATAATAATAATAATAATACAAATAATAATAATAATAATAATAATAATAATAATAATAATAATAATAATAATAATAATAATAATAATAATAAATCATAATAATAATAAATAAATAAATAAATAAATAAATAAGTATAACAAATACAAAAAAACACTGAGTAAATAAACTAAGTAAATAAACAATATATATATATATATAATACCAATACCAACAAACACAAAACGGTTGCCCGGGCAAATGGAAGGAACCAACACCTCAAGCTCTGAACCCGTTCGCTAAGATGCAGCCGCTGTCGGCGCAAGGTCTTCTTGGCGCGGCCCATGAGCGTCATGCCTGGAGAGAAAAAAAACTGGGCCACCCTCAGATCCCCAGACCCCGCTGGGCTAAATGGAAACTAGAACACTAAAAAGCTAAAAGGCTAAGGAACCGGATGGCTGGGAGCCACCAAGATAACGAAGGAGCCCACGCGTGGCATTTGAGAATGAGACCCTTCCCGTTTTTTGTTCTTGGTGGTTTTGAGGCCATCACCCAAAACTGACCAGCTCACTTGTGTGAGTTTTGGTTTTCTGTTTTCGTGATGTGCTAAGATATCTAGGGAACCCCATGTTCAAACCAGTTTGGGTGTGTTTGTCAGGGTACCTTGAGGTTTGAAGGCCCGGCTTAACGAACCATACTCCTTCCCCCGACGAGCGGGACTCCGACGGGTATCGGCTGAAGTGCCCGAAGCCTTGGGCGGCGCACCCTTTGCATCTGACCAACCGGTCCCAAAGGCGAGGGTCTATTTCGTGTTCCAACTATGCCTTGTCTACAACCATGTGCCATAGGCGCCCGCCCCCCACCCAACCACCCACTCATGTAAGATAAAACTGAGGTTATAAATATTGCGCGGAGCCCTTCAATCGGGGCATCCTGGGATAAACTGTTTTTGAAGCAAGGGGCGGCTCCTTCTCTTTCACAACAAGTCCTTGCTGCGTTGCCTGAAATCAAGTCGCATCCATTTTTTACTTGCGGCTGGTTTCTTCCTCAGCTCTTGCCCGAAACATTTCAATTCTGGTTCGTCAGGGAACCAAATGACTGACAAACTGGGTTGGCCGAAAAGTGTCCTGTGAAAATAAGCCACGGCAATGTTGACCGAACCACTACTTGACCCTTGGGGAACTATACTGTGGATGGACGAAATCCTGCACCAACTTGAAACGACGGGCGACCATTGGTTCTTGGTATATATATATATGTCTATATATATATATATTTGCAGGGTTCTCATCATTTCAGGGTTTCTTAGGTGGTGATGGTGGTGCAGAATCTCGCAGCCATCTATAGCACGACCAAGTAGAACAGGCATCCTTACATTATACACCTGAACATTGCAACTTGTAAATGGTGGTTTCCCTTTATTTTGGTGTTGAAAAAGCAACATGTTCCAAATGGTTGCAAAATGGAGATCTTTTCAGGAGCCCGGTAGAACCGGCGCCCATGGGACTAGCTTCAGAGATCCGGCGCCTTCCCGGTCCTTTGGAAGCTCCTTGTGGGGGTGCGCCGTGCAGCCTGCGATGCTTCACTGAGAGGCGAGTCAGCTAGCTGAGTTCACCATATCCAATAGAGTCTAGGTTCTCCAGGTTTTGGAGGCCAGAATAAGGGTACCAACTTTTTTCTGTAGTCTATTTTGGTAGGGGAATTGAACCCTCCCATCCAAAAAAGGGGTGAGAAAGGGCACTACTGGGGGACCTAGTCCATGAGTCTTGAAGTCAGACTCTGTATTTGAGGCAACAATTTCATGGATTCTCTCAAGTGGTTTCACTTCGCTTGGATGGTTCGCGCAATGGTTTGGCGGCTTCAAGCCGTGTAGACCAGGAATACGTTCCAACCCTTCACATGCGAGCAACAATTAGAGGCGGCCTCGACTGAACATAAACAGACATAAGAATCACACAAATGCCAACACGCCAACAGCAGTGAGGTTTCTTCAAGTGTTCAGCCAGTTTGGTGTGTTCAACCACATTTGGTTTCTTTAACCTTTGGGCTGACCTGTTGGTGCTTTCCCTTTTCCAAAAATGGGCAGCGGCCTGAAACAAAAAAGGCAAGAGGACAGGTGAAGGTCGCCGGAGTCATCAAAACCTGGTACAAACATGGCGAACCCAGAACCATGCTTCAAGGATGAAGGCGGATATCAGCGATTTCGGGCAAGGGGATGGTCCCTTACGCTTCACCAGGGCCTCCAGATTTGAGAGCTCAGAAGGGCACCATCTTTTTTCTGTATTCGGTGAGGTCAAATCTGTTTTTGGTTGGGAGGGGTCCCCATCTTTTCTCTGTATTCTAGTTCAGGGGACCCCTCCCAACCAACAAAAAAAATGGTGAGAGGTCGGGCACCAATTGCTGAATTGTTGGACCTAGTTGGGTACCCTTTGAAACTTTCAGGGGCGTGAAGGTCAGGCCTGAAGGGTTGTAGACCACGGCCCAGTTCTCGCCCTGCGCCAGGACCGCCACTTGGTTCCGCGCCAACTCCTCAGCCGGTTCCGACCCTCAAGCTGCGATCCAGTCCGGTTCCTCCAAAACCCTTGGGCTCCAACCTAGCGAGACATATTCAGTTGGCATGTCCGAAAAACGGCTTGGATGCACTTTGTTGAAATTTTCACCGGGGTGTTCCTTGTGTGGGCCCTTTTTTGGGCTAATCCTTTAGAACTCGCTTGATATTCTACAGGGTGAATCCACAAAAGCCACATCCAAACCGATCGGTACAGTTGGCACATATTTGGGCCCCAGGTGCTAACTGATTACTACTCACTACACTTCCAAGTTGACATGGAACCCAAAGAAGCGGTTCCCAAAAGGAGACTGGTCCAGAAGACACGTGTTTTCGGGATTTCCATGTTGATTTCTAGGGGAGTAACCGGTTTTGGGGATTATGCATGATTATGCCGTGAAGAAAGTAGAAGGTACAATTCCCTGCAGATGTGGGGGGTGGGGCATGGCTGAACCAAAATGGCTTGGAATGCCATCTCCCAAATTGTCACCTCGCTGAAGCGATTGTGCCTGACGGCTTCAGGGAATGACCCACACGCCCATATGTCGTTTCAAGGGGCGGTGTTTTGGCGGTCACGAACCCAGACAAGGCGACACCCTATTGAGACCAAGCGTACTTGCAGGCAAGACCACCGAAATAAGCTTGTAGTTCCCCAACAGTGCGCAAGATGAGAACCAGCAAGTTACTCTGCAAATTCACATGGAAACCGACAAGATCCCCAAAAGAATCATCCTACCACACATATGTATGTCAGGTTCCCTGTCAATCATACAGGTCCAGACATTTTGAAGGTCGGAACGGACACAAAGGAGCCGGGTCTCCCCGAGGTCGGAAGCCTTGGCCTAAACAGGCTCAACAACTGAGTTTTTGGGAGTTGATCAATATTCCTGGCCTCAACAACCATGGGTAACTTTTCGCAGGTGGGAAATATCATCTGTTCAGTGGGTTTGGATCAACCCGCATATGGGTTTGTCTCAAAATTGTGAAAATTTCCGTGTGGGCTTCCCGAAATCCATGCCAACCAAGCGGGAGGCCATTTCCCCATTTTGAGAACATATGTCCATGGATATGGTTCCGCGCTATAAGCAGAAGGATGTGTCTAACTGTGAAGGTATTGGTAGGTAGAGCGGATGGCTCAACATGAAGCGATGGGGTTCAGCCACCCGCGTAATTACACCACCGACTTGTGGGACGAGGCTCATGGCATGTTGGGGGTGGTGTGTTTTGGGAGGTGGTAAGAGCAGTGCCACGACATATTCATGGTTGTGGGAAGTCAGGTTTTAGCCTACTGCCAACAATCATGGAAGTGGATTGGGGGGCTTCCCCAAAGGGAAAGTAGTCTTCCAAAACCCTGCTGCCAGCTTCCCTTGTTTGAGGGTAGAAGCTCGTGTTGTGCTGGGGTTTCCTTCAAAGTGAAAAAGTAGCCAAGGGGGTGCCCCATTTCGGTATAGAGTCGCATAGTATCCTGCAAAGCTTGTAAAGCCAGGAGGTCCATGGCAAACACCTCCTGCTGTCTTGGTTCGGGTTGCCATCACACCCTGAAGAAGGTGGGTTGTGGAGCAGGGGGTACCCTGTGCAACACTGCGTCAACAGCCTCAACCAGCGGCCGTCTAAATGGTTAAACGCATATTAACCGCGCAGTACGCCCGCATGCACTGTTTGCACTGTTTGCACTTCTCTCGCACTGTTTGACAGAGGGAGGGGGATCTCAAAGAATGTTTCGAAGACAATACAAGGCAGGTGTCCAAAAAGGAACACTCCCGGTCCCATGTCTGGTGGTCCCAATATCCAACCCAAAACAGGGTGCCCTAAAAACACGCCAAACACAGCAGCCATAGAAAAGTCACGGCCCTCCACGGCCATTGGCCTCTAAGCTGCAAGTCACTATTTGCCTAATACAGACCTCGGCGCCAAATAGGGTTCTGGGCAATTCAAAGAGATATCCATGCCCTGTTGCGCATGAAGAAGACATGCCACTCCGACAAGATTCACATGTGACTCCCAACACTGCTCTGATGAACACAGAATCTCCTTTTGGGAATTCCTCCCGCTAGCTTTCCGTGGATGTAACAGGCGCTTTTTTGGCTGCCAGGGAGCTGGGTACATATCATCTAACTCTTGCACCGTCGGCATCTCGGGCAAGTCCACGGCATGTCTGGTGCAGCGATGCCTGCCGTCAAGTCCAATACTGATTCAAAGCCATAGCAAGGGGAGCCACAAGCAGGTCATCCCTCAATTGCCCGGAAGAGAGTCACTATTAAACTATGAGGCTGCAATTCCTTCCCTTGCTGTGGTTATGAATCATGAGTAAAATTATTGTCCCCCAAAAGGGTTGATCTACCTTCGTTTCCCGGAAGAGCCGCACATCAAAGAGGAGCAAGGAAGCACATGCATATTTCGATTGATGTCCTGTGACCCTGGGGCGCATCCCTTTAGTTGTACATTACTCACTGGGAAACATGATCATCCCGGTCCTGGCAATATTATAGATATATGTATGTATATAGATGTATATACCCAGACACTCCAATGTTGGTGCTAGCCAACATTCGTGAACGTTGGCCTGAGAAGGAACATTGGGGTTTATAAGGCCAAGGTTGCTCTGAGAGGCATGCATCCAAAATGTTGGTTCGACAAATGCACGTTCGACAATTCTCCTGCGATTAGATCACGCCAAATCACGCCAAATCACGGTACTACATGAATGTACCCCAAAAATGGCATACATTTGGCGCAAATGTATGCCAAACATAGCATAAATTCAGTCCGACAATCACGCCAAATCACGCTCAATCACGCCCAATCACGCCCAATCACGGCATCCGACAAATCATAGATTCCGATAAGCCCAATGTTGCCAAATTATGCCTACATCCGAATGTTGCTCTGAGAGGCTACATTTGAATGTTAGTAACTATGACCAACATGGAGTGTGTGGGATATATATATATATATATATTTCTATCTACACACAATGGATATGTGCATTGTGCATACACCTATATAATGTCTATCTGCACATAGTATGTATGTTGTATGTATGTCATGTGTATGCATATAGACGTTACAGTATACGCGTCTGTTGAGGATGGCATATATATAATATAATATATATATATATATACACACACACGTATGTGTTTGTCATGAAGCCTTCAGAGATACCTGGTTGGACGCCATTAAACTTCAGGATACTCCCTTACCTGTTGAGAAGTGTCTCGGATCCATCAACCGCTGTTTGATGAATTGAATTGGAGCTTTCAACCCTATCCGCGTGGCTTGCTAAAGTGACTCCAAGAGTTCGATTAGAAACCAGGGCACCAAAGGGCTCGCTTGCGGCTTCCCGCCTATGGAAATCGCTTTCACTAGCGCCATTCTTCGATTTGAAGTCCCAGATCGTAAAGGACAGTTCTAGCAACTTCCCAATGTGAATCCTACTTGAAACCAAACAAGGCATTCCTTCAAAGACGGATTCAGGATTTGCCTCTGGAGCACTCTGGAGCCTTTGTTGCACCTGTTCAACATCCATTGGTCATGCAAATGTGTGTGTGTGTGTGCGCTTTTTGAGGGTATCCCTTTTCAGGCTGGCGTAGAGAGAAACCAAAAGGAACGCCGCCATTTTGGGGGGTCCCGGTCCCGGATTGTAACACATACCGAAGCGGAGTGGGTCACTCACCAAGCTGAGGCCAAAATGTCACCCCTCGCCCCCGTTCACCTCGCTTCGACTGGAGCCAAAGTCCAATCTATGGCATGCGCTGAGCCATAGCGCAGCCTTCAGAAAAGGTGCACCAAGCAAGGACGTCCTGCCGAACTCGGGGACCTGAGCATCTTGTCGCATCTGCTGCCATAGCCCAACTCAAAATCTCCTGCGCTTTCAAAGCAAGAGGCCCATCCGATCCCCCAACTCCTGACCCGCGGTTTGGACTTGACTCGGAAGTCAGCCCGGCGCTTGGCAGCGGTTGGCACGCCCTTTGCCAGGCAAGAGCTGCACTGTGGCCCTGGCCCACAAAGGGCACTCCAAGTCTTGTCCGACCCCTCCAAAAGGGCGAAAAAAAAGAAAAAAGGAAGCTGCTGGGTGTCTGGTTGATTTGTGGCTTCTTTGGGAAAGCCCCTTCAAAACAAAGGCCCAGAACCAGATGCTTGGCCTCTTCTTGCCCAATTGAAATGTCAGACCGCCAACCAGCAAACGGAACCGGAGGTCAAAAGAACCAACCACGGACACTTTGCAAACCAGAATCACTTGGGGCAATTAAAACAACTTGGGCATCGGTCAACCCTACACCTAATTAGAGTGTCACTGAATGGCATTGTGTATCAAATTTTAGCCAACTGCAAAGGTGTAAGATACAAATGCCAAACGTTCCAAGGGTTATGGTGTCCAAATAGTCGGCGTTGGCCCCTTCAGGTTGATCTCCTTTTGGCTTCCCCTGAAAACCATGAAAAAAGGGGGACCCCTTTTGAGAAACTCCCAGCTCCTTACAGCCAAACAAAAACCAAAAAAAACACTGGGCCCACCCCACCCCTCCCCTCCCCACCCCACCCCACCTGGCAGACCCGCGAGCTCGCAAGCTCAGCCAGCCCGGCGCCTGGCAGCACCACGTGCTTCACTTTCTCCTCTGGGAACAAATCCGACCACTTTTTATTTATTTTTTAAAAGCAATTTCCCCGGGGTATGCGGTATGGAACAATATTGTCCTACACAACTTCACTTTTTTTCTTCGGGGTATGCAAAAAAGCATGCCATACATAATTTCACTGTTTTACTGTTTTTTTCTTGTTTTTCCCTGGGTATTGACAAAACATGTCATACACCAGAAAGACTCGGTGTGTTTTGGAAAGTGCCAAGTTTGTTTGTTCAACCGTAAAAAGCTACGGTCCAAGTACCATCCATAGCCATAAAGAAAATGCAACCTAAAGCGTTCACAACAATGATGGACGGAGCATATTCAACAGGGTTGTTCGGAATCATTCGATCAAACGGATCAAGGGGTAGAACAGTGGCTAGTATATGGGAGTTTCTCAAAAAGGTGGACGGTCTTAAATGACACGCACAGAAAACCAACCATCTGGGCGGTCCCATATCTTAAGACACACATGCAAAGAAGGCCCGGAGCACCAGCTGTGCCCTCAAACCTCGAAAACAAACCACAAGAACTGAAAAACCACCATGAGGCCCCTAAAACAACTCAGCAGAGAGAAATCATGTGACATCCGTTCCTCTAATAATAAAGGTTGTCTTGACAACAAAACACGTTTCAAAACCCCAAAGAGATTCGTACTGAACCAGAACTATCTAGGCCAAAACTAAACCAGTACACATCCTCCAGAATGAAACTTCTGCAAAGTAACTACGTCACCTGAATGCTAATCCAAAAGGTGACCTTAACACAGGCAAGCAGGCACCATCCAATACTGTGGACAACTTCTAGTTGGGATGCATGAACATCTACTGACTCCCAAACCCCTGCCCCAAGGAGGGGGGTGCGCAGCCAATTTATTACCATTGTATCTTGACCGACACAGGGGTTGTCATGGAGGGTAGTGCTTTGGTAGTGGACACCCTCGTGGCGGACCTGCGAGACATCTCTCGCGCAGGAACCGCTAGTCTTTTCGTCCTGAGTCGCGGATGTCTGGAGGTCGGGCATGTGCCAATGCCTCTGGACTGCACGTCCGATAGAAAAAAGTCATGGACGGGTCATATTCACAGGGTTGCCTAAGGAGCAACTCTGTTTCTTCAAAGGATCTCCCGCCCGCGCTGCGTGCTGAAACCGTGAGAGCACCTCAGTCGTCCTTCCTCAGATGGGAGAACTCTGAGAGTCTCTGAGGGAAGTTTGCACAGGACAAATAACTCCCAGAAAAGGGAGTACGCTAAATCCAAGCCAAAACAAATCAAAATGCAGCCTGAAGTGGTTCTCCCCAGAAGTTCCACCCCGTGGAAACCTCCCTTCCCCTTTGCAAATCGGACTCGAAGTTGGTGTTGGACCAATGGTATGAGGTGTTACTCCTCATTCCTCACAAACTGACAGGGATTCCAAGCGCGCTGTATGTTTTTGTGTTTTTTCCTTTTTTTTTTAAAGAGACTCCAGAACTGATATGGTTGTGCGTGCCATGTCAATCTGCGAATACTTTCTGTGCACATCTCTGCATTTCCCGAACCGGAAATAAGGCAGGCCCCAGAGAAAAACAACAAAACACCTTGATCATAGAGTCACTCGCTTGTTTCACCCCTGGATCGGCGAGCTCGCTGTTTATCTGCAGGTTCCGGTTTCGCAAAATCTGCTTAAACAACAAGCTGGTTCCGTAAGAAATCCAATGAGATGTCTTTGAACAAATTGCTGACTCCAGGGAAGGGCCTGGCCCAAACCTGTTCAGGGTGGTAGGCCAGGCTTGATCACTTGCTCCTCTAACCAGGCAGATTAAACACAAAACCAAGCATAAACCTCACTCCACCCCATATACTCTACGGGTATGCTAACCAAGTAGTTGAACAGGTCTCTAAGGAACCTGACAAGGCATTTTAACCACTTACCAAATGGGTTGGTCATGTGTGTGTCTGCTTTTTGTGAAAGCACGAGGAAACAAACATCAAAAACTGTTGGTGTTTCCTACTCAAAAACAAACTGAGCATGTATATATATATATATACATACGTGTATATAAATATAGCGAGCCCCTGTTTAACCAAGTTGGCCCAACTCCGGATGACTTCATGAAGCACATGAATCACAGCCGCGCCCAAGACACAAAGCTGACTTTGGGTGCCGCAACACAAGTATCATGCTACGAGCCCTGCAACCCTTCTTAAACCAAGAAATCTGTGGTTTTGGGAGCGCAAGTGGGCTCACAGCGTTTGCCTTGTGGCCTCGTTTGAAAAGGACCCTCTGGAATTGTAGAAATCCTCGAGGGGGTCACCTTATTTCCAACGAAAAAAAAAAAAAAAAAAACACAAAGCTCATCCATCAAATCTTCCTTCTATAAATCTGACCAAAAAAAACATGAAACAACTGACAAATCCACCCAAATCTCAAAATCCTGACACCTGGCTGGTCATCCATCAAATAGTCCCTCTAACTGACCAACCTACCAAAATCCTGACACCTGGCTGGTCCGGCGTCTGTCCGAGGCGTCCGAAGGAGAAGGACATGCCCGCGCCCACCACGAACGCGCCCGCGATGGCGTTGCCGATGGTCACGGGGATCAGGTTCTTCACCAGCCTCCGCCAAAAAGTCACTCCCGCGTTCCCATTAAAAGCGGCCTTTTTCTGTTGCTTTTTGCTCCCCTGCTAAAAGTGCAACTTGTAGTGACATTGTAGTGGCTTAATGGAAAACCCATTAGTTGGCAAAAAGTTAAAGTTCTAACATCCAAGCAAAATGCACCAAAGTTTTGTTCAGGCTTTTTGCTTGGCACACATTTGTGGTATACAGAAAATCAAATGTTGTGGTTCGGTGTCATATATCTCGCAAACCCGAAAACACGAGAGTTTGTCAGGGGTGGACATCAGATTCGATGTGGGGGAAAGGACGGGGTCCCCTAGCAACTTCAAGGGCGCACTTTCCAGTAACTGTGCAATGTGGAGGTTTGGAGGTTACATATAGAAGAGATGTACTGCCCTACCAGCTGGTAACCGGGCGCCCGTCTCCAAATAGCCTGTTTTTTCAGAGAATATGTTCAAACAACAGGTTTGAACCCCGGACCCGCAAACAGGCGATCAGAACCCAGCGTGGAGGATGGCTTTCACACAGCTGCGCCTTTTCGGCTAGGTCCTCCGGTAGAGAGGTTAGAATAAGGGTACAACTTTGTTCTGTAGTTTATTTTAGTAGGGGAACCCTCCCCAAGAAAAGGGTAAAGGGCACTACTGGAAGACCTAGTCGGGGTCTCAACATAACGGAAATAAAGCGCGGGAGTCCCAAAAAGCAAGCGAGCAGGAACCTCTCGAATCATTCCGACTCGAATCCTGTAAATCCCGTACGGTGAGTTCAGAGAAAACCACATTTGTTTGACGGACGTTTGGCAAACTTCATCAGGGCACCGCCACATTGACCCTGTTACTCAACGTGAGCCGATTATGCGGTATCTGGTGAGCTTTCGGAAAACCAGATGGCCCCGGTAAATATTTCTATCCAAACTAACCTGAAAAGGACGCCTATGTATCTAATATCCTTCCCCCAAAGGGAACCCCTGCCGAGTGTGCAGAGGGTTTAACGGTTCGCCCTACAAAACTCTAACAAAAGGTGAGCCTCCAATGAAGACAAGAAAAAAACATGTGTATATATATATATATATATTTATGCTATTCTTCTGGTCATGACTGTTGGTTTTGAAGTCTCAACCCCAATCTGGTTGATCACGGCCTACCTTTTGCTGGACGTTCAACCCGAACCTGAGACGGATACATTTGGAAACCTTCAACCCACCCAGGATTCAACTATGTTCTGTGCTCGTCACTTTGGGCAACTGAGTTAGGAGACTCTCCACCTTAACTCTCTTGGCCCAAACTGTACACAGAAAATCCTGTGTTCAGACTCAGTTTCATATGTTCTCTGAATCTCGCCTTTTCGTGTTTTCGTTTGGAGGCGAATTAACCAACAACACCCCAAAAAACAGTAATTATCCTCAAGAAACTCATGTAACACCCATATTTCACCCCAAAAGATATATTTCACCCCAAAAGGGATACCCTCAACAAAAAGACCACCACCCACATTTCGACCCAGTCTGAACCCGTTTCGGTTGGAGGACACTCGTCTTTCGGCTTTTGCTCTTTGAATCTGAGGCACACGTCTGCCCAGGTGAGCGGCGCCCCTGAGAAGATGCCGGCGGGGAGGATGAACCTCGTGCTGCTGTTTCGTCGAGTTTGTTGTTTTATTGCTTGGCTCTTTTTGTCTTTTTTTTCCAGGGGATCAGGTGTGGTGTGGGTTTTTGGGTTCACCCTGTCTTCCACGAACAGAAGGCATTTCTAGGTTGGGTACCTGAATAACTTTCCTCTTGGGACCTGTCCGGTGCCCTGGCCATGGAGGGAGTTGTTTTGTCCTGTGCTTAAAAAGCCGCCTGCTTTAATATTGGCAAGTCATTCCCTCCCTTGTTTTTGATTTTTCCGGTTTTTCCCCCATTTTTTTTGGGGGTGGGGTCCGTTTCTTATTTTGCAAAAAACAAATGCTCTTAGAGTCATAGGGGGTCCCCTCAAAAGCAAAGGATTTTTTCTCTTAGATGGATTATAACCCCCTCTCCCCTAGTAAGGTTCACTCCACTTTGGGGGACTCAAAAACGCGGGTATAGGCTACCAACGACTTACTAACTTGGCCGAACGCACAAGCACCCCTTGCCCAAGTTTTTGTTTGCTTTCCACCCTCCTTGCCCGGGTATCCTCCCGGACCGGGCAGGCGAACAAGAAGGATCACTTGTTGGGAAGATCCTGTTCAGCCAAAAGGCGAGAAACGTCTCAAGGTCCAAATACTTGCTGGTTCCCAGCAGGGAATGAGTTGGGAATGACCCTTATAAATCATCCATCCTATGGTGTCCTTTAAGGGAATCTCCAAAATGCTTCTTTCCCCAACACCCGGACTCGGCAAGTCATTGCCTAGCAATC